CTGGCGGCCTGAGAACCATGACTCGAGCAACTCGCGGCCCACGCGGTTGTCACCTCTTATGAGGATTTTAGCCGCGCCAAACTTGAAAATATGGCCGAGTCCCGTAGAGAGAACTTCAGCGAAGTGGAAGACAAAGTTGCTGAATTACGATATCTGCGACGACTATTGAGAGTAAATGGTTACCCGCGCACTTTTGTTAATCAATGCAAACGCAGGCGAGAGAGGAAACCACATCCAACTGGCCCAAATTTTTGGTAAGCTCTTCTGTACGTGAAGAATGTATCGGAAGCAGTAAGCCGCCTACTCACCCCACTTGGGTTTGGAGTTGCACTCAGGCCAGATGCAACCATCAGGCGCTGGCCTATGAGACCGAAAAACGCACTGCCATGGCAGGAAACGGCTGGAATCGTTTACCGGATCTGGTGAAGTTGTAGACAATGCAACTACGTCGGAGAAACCGGAAGATTACTTCGCATGCAAATGGCCGAGCATGCAGCAGCGATGAGGGAGAACGACGCCAACTCCTATGTTGCAGCTCACTCGACGGAGCCCGGCCATATTTTCAAGTTTAATGAGGCCGAACTCCTCACAAGAAGTGAAAACCGCGTGAGCCGCGAGCTGCTCGACTCATGGTTCTCGGGCCGCCAGTACATCAACAAGCGCAATCATTCGGCGCTCCCATTCTGCGTACTGAGGCAATGTCTAAGCAAAAAAAACCAGTCACGTGGGAAGGGCCAAGACCGCCGCACCAATTAAGACCCCAATCGGTGGTTACAGGAGGGGATGATTATAGTACGCATGCGGATGGGCGCTACAAACTATAAATACCATGCGATCTGTGCACGTATTACCCCCATCTGTGCATGTCTCACAGTTTACTTTTGTTACCTATGATTAAGCATTCCCGACGGAATCCGAAATGTCAGGAAAATAAAATTCTTGTTCCAGTGATCGCATCTTCTTCTTCTGAACTGCTTCCTGGTAATCACATATTCACTTCTTTTATTAGTATTGTTCTTGTTTCTTCAAAGTATCTCTCATCACCGCAGGTGAATTCATTCTCGTTGTCTTCTTGTCCTTATGCGAACTGCAACGATCACGTCGGCAATCGCCTCTGCCGCACCTGTGGTCCTAGGCTATGCGGCATTTTTACGTTCTTCCTCATATCGACCCGCAACCGACGGCTGAAGATTGTGGCTGGTTCCTCTGTTTTCGTCACTTTATCGACAGACCCGGCAAACAGCAAGAGCGTACCATGGTCGCATCTCCGGCTCTCCGATATGTTCTCGCGATCTCTGGGGTCACCTTTTAAAGTCACCCTTCAGATAAAGATATTAAACGCGATGGACCCCGCTGGTTTACCACCAACATCCTCAGCAGTACGCCGGTCTTAGTTCGCAAACGCTTCCCTCCAACGAACGGCAGTTTTTTCTCCTAAAAATCCCGCAAATGACATTCCAACTTCTAGAAGTTCTGAGGTTTTTTTCACTGTTTGCTCTTTTGCTCAGTTATATTACTTGAAATAAGTGAGTAGTCGTGTACGCTTACTTTTACTTTTATGAAGCAACCGACTTTAACCTGCAATGATGTAGACGACGTCTTTTGAAAGATTCTGCTGTACCAATAGGGAGTTCAAATGCGTTTTATTATATTTCCCTTTAATGAAGCTGACTTGAACTTCTTATCTTGTGAACTTAAACAGTGAGCAACTTTCCGCAGTCACCACCTCCGGTCTTAGTTAGTGCGATGATGTCTTGCCTGTCGAAATACGCTTCGCAAATTGCCGCAATCTAGTCAATAGTGTTGATCCTCGACGTGATACTGACTTAACAATTTGGATCTCTGAGGTGGGATTAACTAGAACGTTGAAAAGCAAAACTTGATTGGAGCCCTTATTTTATGATTCCTTTCCAACCTTGGGCAGTGGGCATGGTAAAGATAGGTTGTCTGACCCCAGCGGGTTTAATTTACGTAACTAGCTACTAAAAATGATTTATTAGGCCCTGTTTGGTTTATTAGCTTATAACTACGGGAGGGGACTCTTTGTGCATTGGAGCTTCCGTGGCATCTCCAGACGGCTACTGTTATCCAACACGTATGCCATGATTTGATTATTTCTTCGAAAAGACTAGCTGAACATTTTTTACCTTGTCTGTTCTCACAACATAATGCCTGCTGTAAGAACCTTCAGCTGTGTTGCATTTTACTAGTGCCGTCTTGACTATGGGGGGCAACTTTCTGCTTGCTGATTCACTTTGAAGAGGAGATCAAGGCATTTATGGACTATTATCCTAATTATTGTCAACCATTTCTTATACGTAACACTTTCTAGTTTATTATACACCACTTACCACCTACTTCATTGTAGTAAGACTATTTCCTTGTAAATGTATTCAGCTTCTACCAATCCATTATCCTCCCCCACGGAAATCTTCATCTTCCTGTGGTTACTTTCAGTTCTCTAAGTTGTCTGTTTTCCTAGTAGTTAAGACCAGCATGTCGATTGACGGCTGCCCGTCAAATTTACCTAGCTCCGCTGCGCAAACTGCTTCCTCCCATCTTCCCTTCCTATCGCACTTGCGTGCACTCTGTTTGCACTCAGCTCGCACACGTTCGCTCGCTAGCCGACGGCCGAGCAAGAGTTGGCCCTCGTACCAATCTTTTTAATTCTCTTGTTCATAATCGCAGCCACCTGTTTCAAATGAATGTGGGAATAGGCCTGGGATTGACTTGTTCAACTGCTCTTTGTGATGGGGTGAGCGCGAATCTTTTGTATTCCTCGCCTAAGCGATATTAAGAGGAAGATAGCCTTACGGTGCGGACTTCTTATTTCCTATTGGCTGCGTTCCTCCTTTTAATTATCGAGCGCTAACCATTAGTTTATTTGGTTTATTTTTATTTTTTATTCATTTCAATTATTTAGTTTATTTAAATACTTGTTCCTATTTTTTTAATTTTATACGTCCTACTTTTTAATTTTTCTTTCCCTGATTCGACCCAACCATTTTACCTCTTTTACCGCTGGTCCCGTATTACATAAACGTGGGCTTTTCTGCAACTGGGGTTATCTATAAGGCATCATTACCGAATTATGTTGCCTAGTAATAATCCTTATTGCTCAGGATTATCAGGTAGAAGACGCTGTTCGGATTCAATAATCGTTGGTTAAATATTATCTGATTCCGTAAGTTTTTAGTTCAATTAGTAAAGCAATTACTATGTATTAATTCAATCATTTATTGATTTAATCCTTAATATGCCTTTTTCGATCGGATACAGTTTCACGAAATTAGTCAATAATTTGCTGCTTGGGCTTCTCTAGATATTTTGCGACACAATTCGCTACGAAACAGAGCTTCTCAGTATTTGCGCTGCTCCCTTAACGGAAAAGCGTGATTAAACAACATGCTTCTTATTAAGAACAATCCTTATTTTTACCCTTTCAGTTTCACACTAACCATTATTTTTTCCTCATTTGCAAAGAACTGATATTACTACCACTGCCGCTTTACACAAGCCTGTAGTTACTGGTTGCGAGGTGGGGCGAGGTGGGGTCATAGAACCTATCGTTACCGAAGGCATTACCAGATCGCTAAGGAGATAAAAGTCTGCCCTCTATGTGTGCGAAGAAGTGACTTTATAGCGCAGGGAAGGCGATGTTACCCTGATAACACCTCAAATCTAGAGGGCCATGCTCAGCACCTAAATCCGAATATCAACCCGAAGACCCCACTGAGAAGCAAAGACTTGTTATAGACGTTTAATTTTCATGCATATTCGGTTAAATATATAGAAATAGGTCTCCATGAGATAAGTGCCCATACCGATGAATGAAAACCACTTCCGGAGAGATCAAGAC